GGGAGGGGAGGGGAGGGCAGGGCAGGGCAGGGCAGGGCAGGGCAGGGCAGGGCAGGGCAGGGCAGGGCAGGGCAGGGCAGGGCAGGGCAGGGCAGGGCAGGCAGGGCAGGGCAGGCAGGGCTGGCTATCGCCAATCAGGTTGAACCGTTCCTTGGTGCTGGAGGCTGAACAGAAAGGAAATAGGCTGCATCGCAGACAAGTCCAGTCAGGTCATAGCCGGTATTCTTGAAGCGCATGACGAGCTATTCGCCAGATTTCCTATGGCTGTCGATCTCCTTCCCGATCCGTCTGAGCGGACTGCCATGTCCAAGCGCACATGGGAGAAGACTTTGTATCGCGCTCGTACCATTCTTGACATGTTAGCGCAGAAGAAAGACAAACTATTATTTCTTTTCCTGCACGCAACAGCTCGTGAGAAGCTTCCTGCGGCAGAATGTGGTTTCTTGTCGATGCTCATCGATCCGGAGACTGAGCTGCTTGACTTAGATGAATGGCGTGCGACAGCTTGTAACACCGCAGTAAATCTTCAAGTGACAGTGGCTCGACGAGAACGAGTTTCAAGTGCTTTAGCCGCGATAGCCTGCTTGGACGTCCGTGGCGGTGCCCTTATGCCATCAAGCTGTTGTCTTCCGCCGGCCCAACACGTCGCAGAACACGATTCCTGCAGTGCTTCGGGAAGCCTGGTGTGGGACGTCCTCAGAAGCTTGCCAAGCCATTTCGCCGGATACAACGACCTCTACTCCTTGGCGTTGTGCTGCAAAGACTTGTGTGCAACAGTCCTCGACAAGGGGTACTGGGAAGGCAAGCACGTCGATTTTCGAGTGCGAGGATTGGTCACCGATCGTCGAATTTTTCGAAACACTGTGGCTCTCTTTCAAAGGGCCGCCTCTATGACGTTTCATGTGCCGCAGTTAGCCTATCTCGACAAGATTCCTCGCCAGTCTTTGATCAGCTGGTTTGTCCGGGACATGGAACTTCTTGGCAACGACAGTTCGGGGTGGGTCTGGACCTCCAGTCACCCCCTGCTGGGGGCTGCACGTTTTGCTTTGACCTTGCCTACAGGCACAAGGACAATATTCATGGGTCTGAAAAAAGATGGGACTGAAGCGCGGGCTTTCTTTCAGATCAATCAACTGGACGAAGACCAGTGGAGCATGTCTGTCGGCCTGAGCGGACATCATTCTGTGGATTTGCCAACCGACACGTTGACTGAAGCTATGCTACCTGCAGGTTGCCCGAACGAGACGATTTTGACGTGGACAGCTAAGCATATGCGCCTGACTCTGAACAGACGGACCGTGTGCCAGGTCCGGCTGGTCCAGGAGTTGAGTGAGGACTTCTCCTTCTCGAGCTTCTTCACCTGGGTGACAGCTCGCAAGGACATTGCCCAGCGGCCCAGTCTGATACCGCTTTTGGCTCCTGTGGATCTTCGAACCCGGGTCAGGCGCGGGGTCTAAACGTCATTTCATGTCATGCTCAAAGTCAAAAACTACATCCGGGACAGATATATAATATACTCTATAGTTTACAGTTTAGTTATGCTTCTACTTTTCGTCAAGCTTGACTGTTAACGTGTGTCTGCGCAGGTGCAGTCATTGCGAGCGTCGCGAGACTCTTGAATTCCCTGGTTGGAGAATCTGTCCGGTTTGCTATTCGTGGATGTGCGGTGTCCATGCGCCGCGTCTGCCACACATGCTCTGTTGTGGCTGTAGAACTGTCGCAGTCGAAGACTATGCGGGTGGCTCCTCGAGTTCTGGGACTACTGAGCCTGCTTACAAACGCAGCTTTATCCCACTGAATATCTTGAACGATGTCATGCGAAGTCTTCCTGCCTTGCTCGAGGTTTACAGCGACATTGACACACTTGCGTGTTGCTGTCGCGAGTTCTGCTCTATCATCAAGAGCAAAACTTACTGGAGAGATCGACACATCAGCCTTGATGTGGATGAGTTGCGCAACAACATGCGGGCCCTAAACAATGCTGCAGATCTTTTTTCGGAAGCAGGTTCTCTGGCTTTGGATGTGCCGCAACTGGCGTCTTTCGTCGTCATTCCTTCACGTTCCGTAATCAATTGGATTGTGAGGGAAGCGGTGGTTCGGGGAAACACTATCAAGGCCTGGACGTCTACGCATGCTTTACTGGGAGCGGCCAGGTTTAGTCTCGTTCTACCGTCAGAGACTCGTGCATTGTTCGTCGGAGCGAAAGCCGTCGATGCTGACACAAGATCGTTTTTCATCGTCAAAAGACCCTATGCAGCTACTTGCACCGTGCATTTTGCGGCGTCCCGTTTGGGTGTGATGCCTGCCGACAGCCAACGTTTCCGTCACGCGCTCCTGCCCGCCGGATTCAGCAATGTTTTCAGCCTTTGCTGGAGCTCGTCTCGTCTCGACCTCATCTTGAACGGCCAGACCGTCGGACGAGCAAGATGGAACACAGATACAGCGGAAGGGCCGTCTTCGTTCTCCAACTTTTTTTGCTGGGTGGTTTCCGACAGCACGGAGCATCAACAACCAGACCTCGTCCCATTGCTGGCTCCCGTTGTGGAGAGTACACCGATCAGGCGGCTTGCGGTGTGATGTCGTAAGTTGCGCAGCTGTTATTTGTAGCGAAACCAAATGTAAGTGGGACATGGTATGACCCCGCTGCAGGTGCTGCCAATGCAATCACGTACAATCGCTTCGCTTTCCTCGATGGGCAGTGTGCCCGCTCTGCTACTCCTGGGTGTGCGCAGAGCACACCGGTGCCATGGCTTGGGCGATGTGTCCTGCGTGTGGCCTGTGCGAGATGAATGATTTCATAGGCTTGACAGACAATTCTCAGAACAGCAACACAGTTGATCTTTTGCAGGAAGATGCAGTGGACTTTCTGGGAGGGGCGGCTAGCTCTGCATTCTCTGAAGCCGAAGAAGACGACTTGATGCCCGGCGTTGGAGAAGACCCGGAGAATTCAGAGGAGCAGCAGGCAGCGGCAGAAGTGGTTGACCAGCAGGAGTTGGATATCATTTATGAACTCACTGCCGCTGTGGATGCAGGGGCAGCAACTGCTGAGGACGGCGCCGGCGGAGTTCTCGAAAAGGCGCGTAAGAGAAGACTGAAGGAGGGCGCGTCCTCCACCACGAAAGATTTCGAAGCATCTTTTCAGAGATTGAGAGCTACAGCAGACACTTCGCTGCGGGATGTTGTCCCTCTACACGCTCGGGAAGAACTGAGCATTCCCGAAAAGATTCATCGTATTCGAAATCAGGTTGTGGCGGTGTTCCCTGAATTTGAGGATGTCCTTCTGCGGCTGTGTGTGGGAGCTATTTCAGTCTATCGGCTGAGATTAACAGATTTGCACATCCGTGAGCTCATCATGTTGCTGTGGATTGTTGAAGGGGACAAGCACATGCGATGTCATTCTGGCAACCTATACTTCTTCAACCAGGGGCTTTCACACTACACAGAGGAGTGCCTCCACAGGCAACACTCGCTCGCTGCAAAAAGTTCTGCCTTCGCTTGGAAGGATTGTTCAGGTTGATGAACTCTGGCCGTCTAGAAACGGATGCGGATGTCCTGAGCAGTGTTCGCGAGCTTTTATCGTCAAACAATGACTCAGCTGTTGAATTGCTGAATGCCTGCGAAGATGCAGCGCTTGGAAGTGCTCCAAGAAGGTTAGCCCGTGGCAGGTCTGCAGTCGCGGACTAGGATGCGGGCGGCCAGGATCGTCACCTTAGTCGAGTGGAGCGCACAGCTGAGGCCTTGTCAAAAGCTGGATTGACTCTCCAGAACAAACTGATCGAAGACAAAATTTTCAATCTTGTGGTTGAGTGGTGCGACAGCAAGCAGATTCGCGCAGCCGGGATCTCATATCAAGATTGCGCCATGCTGTACGACGCGGGGGACGGTCGGCATGTCACGGCAGTGGATGGAAGGCCAGAGCACAACATCTATCTTCACATCCCACATCCGCTGCTGCAGGATATGGGCGACCCGGTGCTACAACGAGCCAGTTCAAGATTGGAACAGTTCTACAGGGAAACCTTTTGGCTGAACAACAATGCCGCTCGGCTACTGAGCAATCTGACATTCGGAGTGGGGTCATCATATAGACAGGACATTAGCTGTTCCTGTTCTTCATGACTAAGGTTTTCGAGTGCTGCCAGGCAGCGACGGTGCTGGCAAAGCGTGGCGAGAATATCGTCCGATGTTTCATTGGGGTCAGCCCAGGAGGTTCTGCGCATGAACAGCATAATTTTACAGTTGCGGCAGTCCGACATTCCTTTTTACGAAGTTCGTAGTATGTTCGTAGTGCCAGCTGAGTCAGAACGAAGCCGAACATGTTTTCCAGATCGCAGCGCTGCGTCGCAGGAGTGGGACAGTCTCTTTACAGCTCCCATCTTGACGCAGTTTACGGCGTGAATCATAAGTTCATTGACCCGAACATATGGTACGACGAAACTGAGATGCGGAAGCAAGTGGAGCAAGCGGCGGGGTGTTTCATACTAACTGCCCAGGAAGCCCCTGAGACAACAAGGAGGATGCGAGAAGACCTCTATAAGAAAACGATGTCCGCCGATGGGATAGCTGGGCGCCGCCCGTACGGCATCAGCACCCACATGATCGAGCTTGTGGGCTGGAAAAGGTGTGAGGTGAACCGCTTGATGCGCTTCGTTGGGGTGACCGAGCGGAACTTCGAATCCATACTAAGGCGCTCGCTCGTCTGGATGCCGATGGCCCGGTTCATCAACGAGAAGATCATCCAGGACTTCTATCCGGATGCCGAGCTCGACGGTTATTTCAAGAAGGATGACGTTCTGAAGGAGTTCCTGCGCAGTGGTCCATGCGTCGCTGCCGCCCTCCGGTTGCAGCACGCTTTCGAAACGCTTTACGGTCGAGACGAGTGCCTTGCCATGATCGAAGACTATGCCAACAAGCCTCTCACAGAAGATCTGATGCGGCAAGCCTGCAGTTTGCCACCCAGAAAGAGGTCTGACATCAACGGGCCCACGCTCCAGATACCAATAGACTCAGCCAGCCAAGAAATAAGAAACGAAAAACTTAGCCTGCTCGCGAACGTTGTTGCTGCTATCAGGGAGGAGTGCCAGATCAAGCAGAAGAACGTTTTCACCAAGGGCATGTTCAAATATCTGAAGCTCCCGCCGCAGCATCCTTCTGACTTGGACAAGGATAGCATGTGGAAGATGATGTTCGATGAACGTTTGCTACTTTCGGAGGAGATCGGCGGCAAGTACAAGGACGCGGCCGTGCCAACCATCGAGGTCACCCAGTCGGTCTTCGACTTGCTTCCTTTCAGCGGCAATCAGCCAAGTGTTACCTATGTCGAGTTGCACGACATGAACAAGTTGAGAAAGTATGTGCTAGATTGTCCCGACCGGGAGTCCAATGTCTGCACTATGCTCTCCTACCTGGAAGCCAGTGCCAATAAACTCAAAGCTCCTGGTCGCAGCGGCAGGCAAGCGCAGGACATCGTTTACAAGACGAGCAAGATCACCAACTTTCGGGATAAGTTGCAGAGAGTCGAGGCACTCCTTACCAAGTTCATGGATGCTGAGGCCGCAGACGACGTGAATGAAACTCAGCCCCCGGAAAGCCCGCCCAAGAAAAGAAGAACGGGAAAGTGCACTCCGCCTGTACAGAAGCCCTTCACCTACAGTCGCCATTTTCAAGGCAGGATACGAACCAGAGCCTACGTGCAGGGCTTGGGCGCGCAAGCTTGTCGCAGGCGGGTGCAGCGATTACTCTTGCCCGATACATATGACCTGGACATTCGAAACGCAGTCTTTGTCATCCTGCAGCAGCTTCTGACCAAACTGAAAGACGCCTGTTCGGTGCCTGACTATGTCAACGAAGTCATAACAAGATGTGCGAAGGAAAGAAACAAGATTTGTCTCGAGGAGCTCAAGACCTCCGTCAAGGAAGGCAAGCAAATGCTGCATGCAATTCTTTTTGGAGGTGCCACCCCCGCAGAGCTATCGAACAATCTTTTCTTGTTGCAATTTCAAAAAGCAGCGAGATATCTGCGATGGTTGGCTTGCTCTCTGCTGCCGGATGTTTTCGAGTGCGTCAAATCCATGAAGGACAAGCCGAATCCTCAAGCGTCAACGTTGTTTTACTTATATGCTGCTGCGGAAGATTGCGTTCTGAAATCTTGGGAAGGCTTTCTGGCGAGATTCAAACTCGAGCATGTCTCGCTGCACTTCGATGGAGTTCGGATTGGAAGCGGTTCACAACCTCTGGACATTGACGATGTTTGCCGCAGCTCTGCTGCTGCCATACTCGAAGAGACTGGCTTTTCCGTCGAGATCGTTTGCAAGAGACATTTGTATTTTCGTGAACTATGTCAGTCTCCCAATCTTCTGGAGTCGGAAGTGACTGGGTGTTTGTTGGAGCAAGGCAACTGCATCCCTTTGGCGCTCACACGGTTATTTCCTAAAAAAAGAAAACCATCGTCGCCGAGCTGGAGAAGGATAACCAACACAATCGGGAAGCAAAGAAAGTTGGTTCCCGCTCGCACGCATCATTCACCGAGGCTTTGGGGCTGTACGCTGTTCCATGCGTGGGCTTGGATGTGAGCGAGCCTGGTCGGTATCTACTGCACTCCGAGTACAACGGCAAGCCACATTGCTTTTCGTGCGTGAGAAGAGACAACGGCCTGACAGAAGTTGGAGATGGCAAGCACGTTACTCGGATGATGGCGAAGGAGCTCGACGGCTTCGGTGATGAAGCTATCGACAGCTTCTCAATTGTCACTTTCAAGGTTTTCGACAAGATGCAGAATGCAGGGGTGGGTGATCTATCGGAGCCATCGTCGATTCTTTTGCAACTACACGCAGGGGCCGGTGCGGTTGAGAAAGAATGGGAGGAAGGCCTGTCGAACCCGTGCGAGTCCGCTGGTCCGGACTATGCCTCTGAAGACGAGTGCGGTGTCGGCTGTGAGGATGAGGACGAAGAGCCTGTCGTGAAAGTGGGAGATGCCTTGCTGGAAAGTCTAAGACTCGAAGTGGCTCGGCATCTGCAACAAAATCAAAAAGCCTGCCCAATGTGTCCTTTCAGGTGCTTCCAAAAGCAGACTCGCCTCTGTGCTCACATACGCAAGTACCACACCCCGTCGAAGCAGTACGTCTGCAGTGGCACGAAGCAACTGAAGATCATCTGTGCTTTGTTCGACAATGATCAGATTGCCGCACACCAAAAGGCACTCTAAACCCTACAAACCACCAAAGACTAGCGACACACTTCGGCAAGCAACTCTGTAAGCACATCCTTGCAAGACCCTGGCGAAGTGAAACCTGCACAAAACCTGGTAAACCCCTTGCAAATCCCAAAGACTCACTAAGCCCGAAACCATAAGGTCCTCAACCCTAAAACCCTAAAGCCATAAACCGTAAGACCCTGAACACCCTGAAGCACTTAAACCAGATCCTACACCTGAGGACCCTAAGACCCTAAACCCCGAGGCCCAACATTCTAAACGACCACAAAGGCCAAAGACGGTGGTTTAGGGTTTAGGGTGTAGGCGAATCTGGGATTGCGGCTCACGGCGATCCCAACGGCGGCCAACTTCTTCAGCCTGTTCTTTCGATGGTGTTAACAAAAGGGGCCTCAAGAATTAGAATGTGGTTTTATCCTGGTTTTGGTATGGCCTTACGGTCTTGGGCCGTCAGGGTCGTCGAGGGCGTTCAGAACCGTCCTTAAACCCTAAACCCTAAACCCAGCCCTAAACCCTAAACCCTGAACCACAGCCGAACTGAAACATTCCCCCCAAAAAAGCCAGTAAGGGATCATCTAAAGGGCTCCTTCAAGGGATGCTGTAAACGGTTCCTATTGGGTGTACTCTATTATGATGCATTTATAGGAACCCTATCCCTTAAAGGAACCCTTTATAGTTACTATAAAGGGTTCCTTTTAAGGGATATAAAGGTTTCCTCTAAGGGATACTTTCAAACGCTCATAGAACTATACTCTAGATTTCTAGGATTCCGCGGAAGGATCCTATAAAGGTTTCCTGCAACTGTACTATAAGTATACTGCAGAGTTTTCGGGTTCCTCTGACGGATTCTATAGAAAATTCCTTTCAGGGTACTACAAGGATATTCTAGAGTTTAGGTTCTTTAAGGCATACTAGAGTCAGGGAGTTAGGGTTCGGCGATAATTAGCACCTGTGGACGACCTAAGGCTTCAGACAGGGGCCTGAATGATTGTAGTAGGGTTTACGAGTACGGGTCCATTGTGCCAGACTTGTATTGAGACTATATCGGGGTGCCAGAGAGAAGGGCAGTCCACAAGCATATCAAGCTTGGTTGACATGGTGTAGGTCGCGGCCCGTGATGTACTGAGGCGGAAATGTGGTCCTCCACCAAGATTAAAGAGCTCGTAGTCGTCCTGCACATTTCTGACATTCGCGGACGAGACCATTGGCTTTTCAACTCTTCAACCATGCAAACCTCAAGCCCACAGTGCAGCAAACGTCTCTCTGACTTCAAAGAAAAAGTCTTAAGTCTTGGTTTCCCTGACAACCACTTCGGTTTAGGGTTTAGGGACTCTCCAACAACTTCCGGCACTAACTCTAAACGACCACAAGTAGAACCATAGCGCCACAAACTCTGAACCTTGAGCCTGGTTAGGAAAAGATCATGGTCTGCTCTAGCAGAAAGTCCTCAAGATCTTGGGCCAGCGCTTAAACACCAAAACGTGAAATCCAAAGTGTGCCGAGTTTTAAACCCTACACCGCCAACCAGCTTTCAAGCTCAAACGCTGACCAAGTAGATGCAAAGTGTGTATGTTAGGATCCGGGGTAGAGCCCTGGCCCCTAAAGCTAAGCCCCTAAACCCCCTAAACCCTAAACCCCTGAACCCTGAACCCTAAACCCCTAAACCCTAAGCCTAAATTGACGACTCTGTGCTACATGTTCAGGGTTCTTGGTTGGAACCTCTCCAACTAAAGGACAACGAGAAGCTTCAGGGCTGGGGCTTACCCGGATGGGTTTGGGGTTTAGGGTTTAGAGGGTTTAGGGTTTAGGGTTTAGGGTTTAGTGTTTAGGGTTTAGGGTTTAGGGTTTAGGGTTTAGGGTTTAGAGTTTCCAAGAGACTTAATTCACTTCAGCAATTGAAGGATCCTTCAGATGGTTTGACGGCTATTCCCCAATGAAAGGGTTTTGGAAGCCTCAACACCTAGAACCCCAAAGCCCACTAGGAACTTAAGCCCCCAGCCCTGAAATCGATGCAAGAAACAGGGCCACGCAAAACCCCTAAACCCTAAACCCAACTCTGTTTCGCGGCCTTGCAGCCCATGATCACCTGCCCGACGTCGTCAAAGGAGCTCATGTACCTTTGGTATGGTCTGGGAATTGGGGTTTTAGGGCTTAGGGGTTCGGGGTTCAGAGTTGAGGGGTTTAGTTTTAGGCTTTTTGTGTCTGGGACTTGGAGCTCAACGATGATTTTCCGGACCGCTATCGTTGATTTCAGGTCAGTCATCACCATCCCCTCCTGCTGCTGCTTTTCCTCAGTAGGCTTCACATTGTCGTCGATTCTGCCATCTCGACCGTCTTCATCCTCGTCATCATCCTCATCTTTATCACCATCGTCATCCTCCTGGTCATCATCATGATTGCTGTATCAACATCACGACCAACACCATACTCACGACGAAGATAGCTGTTATCAATTTTCATCGCTGTCATCAGAGAATCTGCTTCATCTTATTTCCCAGCGGCCACGTGCCATCAGTGCCTGACGCGTGTTTCACCGGAAGCCCGCGTAGAGTCGAGACCCCATGACCAGCGCAAGATCGAACAGTCACCCCNNCCCCCCCCCCCCCCCCCAAAGATCCAGGTCATATCTTCATCGTCAGCATCACCTTCCTCATCATCTTTGTCCTCATTTACCCTCCACATCACCTGCACATCACCTTCACTGTTATCGTAACAACGACATCAAGTCTTGAGCTCATGCTTGCAGGGTAAAGATGATCTTCCATGTGCCCTCTTACAGGTCGACGAACTCGAACCGAACTCTGAACAAGTAGGCTGTCGCTGGTTCCTTTTAACTTCGAGCTTTTGGCATGCCGATTCAAGGCACCGAAAGCAGCTCTCAGCGGTCCGCTTCAAAGACGCGGACATCAAGGGACTATTAGCAAGCTCAGGCTTCAAACGACCGGCATGCTGACTGGAGTTTCATCCGTATACATTAGGCTAATGTAGGGGCCTGAATAA